TGATTTGTCTCCTATCATATGCTTTGAACAACCGCTGTCGAGGTACCATAGGTTGCTCCCCCTCACTAGGACCTGCAAAAAAACTTAAGTGTTAGTTTCAGGAACCCCGGGATCCTTGTGTTCCTTTGATGTTGATGCAATATCAGTTTTCTTTACCCATACTTGTTTAGCATTTTTTTTATCATGTTCCAATTTCTTTCTACAATCAGATTGTAAATGTCCAGTTTTTCCACAGAAAGTACAAACTTTGCTACTAGGTAAATCTACATATTTTTTCTGTTTCCATTTCCTTTTGGACTCATACCCAAGTCCCTCAGTTCTCTTGACTTGAGCATCCTTGATCCATTTAGGAGTAGCATTAGGATCAATGCTTCTATTCTTTCTACCCTGCAGTTCCTTTTCCAGTTTATCTTTGTGAGATTTTAAATTCTCAAGATCTAGCTTGAGTTTTTCAAAATCAGCATTGAATTTTAGCATGGAATCATTTGAGGAACCACTAGAATTAATATCAGCATTAATTAGTTTATACTGTGAAAGTTCGACATTTAACAAGACATTTTCCTTTTTAACACTTTCAAGCATTTCAGACATGAGAAGATATTTGTCATGCAACTCTCCAAATCTGGTTTGAATATGATTTCTTGCTGTTTCCAGCCAAGCACTGTGATCTTTCTAGATTTGCAGAACCTTTTGACACTCGTTCCTTTGCATGCATTCATCACTTAGATTTATTTCCATTTCAACAATAAGATCAATTAAAGCATCTTTGGATAAGGATCTAAGTTTAGCATTATCAAAGTTACTTTCACTTACCTCCTTTTCCAGTTCCTTGAGGTATGCACGCCTGTCATCTGACTTTACCATCAAGCAAAGATTGGCAGTTTCCTCTTCAGGTTGATCTTCATCTTCCTCACTTTCAGAGTCTCCCCAAGCAGCAATCATTGCTTTCTTGACATCGGTTTTCGAGAAAGGAGTCTTGTATTTCTCTTTTCCTTGTTCTTTGAACTTCCCTTTTCCCTTCTCAATATCCCATTGAGGACAGTCTCTGATAAAGTGGTCAGAGTCTCCCCAAGCAGCAATCATTGCTTTCTTGACATCGGTTTTCGAGAAAGGAGTCTTGTATTTCACTTTTCCTTGTTCTTTGAACTTCCCTTTTCCCTTCTCAATATCCCATTGAGGACAGTCTCTGATAAAGTGGTCAGTTGATCCACATTTGTGACATCCATAGTCTGGTTTGGAGTTAGAAGACTTCTTTTGAAAGTTCATGGAGTTCCGTCCGTTCCTGTTGAACATTCGTTTGAATCTTCTGACTAGCATTGCTGCTTCTTCTTCATCCACTTCTGATTCCTCCTGGTGAGCTTTCAGTGCTAGCCCTTTGTTCTTGTTTCCTTCACTGTTACTGGTTCCTAGATGAAGCTCATGTGTCATGAGGGAACCAGCAAGTTGTTCAATGTTGAACGTTGTGAAGTCCTTTGTTTCCTGAAGGGCAGTCACCTTAGCTCTCCAACGCTCGTCTTGAGGAAGACTTCTTAGCACTTTTCTGACCTGCTCATCAGTAGGAATTTTTCTACCAAGAGAAACTAATTCATTAATAATGTTAGTGAATCTAGTAAGCATTTCCTGGATAGATTCTTTGGGTTGCATCTCAAAACGTTCATACTTAGACATGAGTAAATCGATTTTAGAACGTTTCACTACATTAGTTCCTTCATGAGTTACTTGAAGGAGATCCCAAATTTCCTTTGCGTCCTTGCACCCCATAACATGATTGTGTTCATGTGGTCCAAGCCCACAATGAAGCAGTTTCACAGCCATTGCATTGATTTCCATTTTATCAAAGTCTTCTTTATCATATTCAGACATTGGTTTAGGAATTACCTCGTTTTGAGCATTGGTTTTGGTTACCTCGAAGTCTCCTACTTCGATAACTCTCTAGACCTGATAATTTTCTGCTTTGATGAAGATCTCCATTATATTCTTCCAATAGGTATAGAATTTTGACATAGGAGGTCGTTGAGTAGAGTACCCTTCTTCAAGATTTTCATGAGTATTCATCTTGTACCAAGATTCTCCTCTTCAGGGTGTCCTGAATTCGAGAGGATTAGGCTCTGATACCAATTGTTACTTTAGAAGAATACTACAAGAGGGGGCGGTGAATTGTAGTTTGTGAGAATTGAGCTAACTTTTTGCGGAATTGATAATACTAAGCTACAGGAACTTAAAGTAAACACAGAGAGATTTTACGTGGAAAACCTCTTGGCCCTAACAAGAGGAAAAACCACGACCACTTGGGATTTTAGGAAAGATTCTTCACTATAACAGGGCAAACAACCTATAACAACCTAAAGAATCAATCTTCAAGTTCCTCTACGAACTTGAAGTTCCCAGCAGCAAGTCCCACTACTTGCCACTCTTCTCTTCTTTCTCTTTCTCTACTGAATTCTCTTAGAGTTCACTCAAACTCCCAATTCCCAAAATACAACTCAAATATAAAACTCTAGTGAAAGTAATTAAGAAAAACACTTTAGTGGAATGCGACTCTTGACTCTTTTGAAAACAAGAAAGAAAGACAAAAGTGTTTGAGCAAGGCAAAGTTATCCAGAAAATAACTTCGATATTTATAGGAAAACATTTCTTGGTGAAAACGCCACACTTCCCACCACTTACACCACCACTGTTGCATATCAATGCCACTACTCTTCACCACTTCCAAATATTTCAATCATGTCCTAAAATCAGGGCACGTTGAGCCTTAAGGAAGCAGTATATTTGTAAGTGGTGAAGACTGAATCAACAGTCATTTGCGCAAGTTTAGGGAGTTAGTTTTTCAAAGATATTTTTCTGAAAATAAAAATATCAACATTAAAGGATAAAATCAGAAAAGATATTTTTCCAAACAAACTATCCTATTTTTAGCGAGTCAATAATACTTATCCTTTTCAAACGCATTCCACTAAGCATTAATCCCTAATTAATTTTCACTTACATAAAACCTAAAATAGAAAATATTTCAGACTTTATTTTCTCTAAGAAGTCTCTGCTCCGAGTCTTCTTTCCTTAGCTTCTGCTCCGAAGCTTTAGTTCCTTCATAGGAACTCTGCAACTGATCTCTTTTATTTTTAGCTCCTCGTGTTCCTTTGCCTTGAGTGTTTCCTGCAACTTATAATAAACCACAAGACTCACAGAAATCATTAGTCCACTTATTTGACTTGTGTTATGTTGATGTTTAAAGGTTTTGATGATGAGGAACTTAAGTTACAGCAAACTCATCTCATAAAGACTTTTCAAGTGTTTGTGTAGCCTAGGTGAAATTGATCTTTGAGATGGAAGAAGTAACTAAAGCTGAGAAGACTTGAAGGAGTTCTTTATCAAGAAAGTTATTCAATATAAAAGAAGAGTTCCCTAACAGGAACTGAGTTCCCTCACAGGAACGTTCCTTCACAGGAACTTGAAGATTGCTGACTAAGATCTTTGGAGGAACTTAGTAAGCGTGGAGTCCAAGTAAACCTATCAGAACAAGAATACAACGCAGCAATGTTTTAGTTAAGATTTTATCTTCTAGATTCATTGTTAAATATGTTAAGTAGGATATGCATGAAACTTATTAGATGTGTGACAGTTAGCTTGGCAAATAAATTAAAATCGGAAAAGATAAAAGATAGAAATCGGAAAAAGATTTTCTTTAAATATGTATCTCTTAAAATCAGTTTGTTAAAAAGATATTATGCTTTTTAATTCAATATTTCTATCTTATTTTCTGAAAAGATTTTCTTCAAAGGATTTAATTAAAAAACCGTGTTTTAAGATAAGTTAAGTTTTACTTATTTATCTTTATGTAAACCTACTGTATACAGGTAATACTCGTATAAATAGTAGAGAATAACATGAGCCTAGGTTTTTGTGAGTTTTATGCGTGAAGAATTTACAGAGCTATAGTCGTGTGAGTTTGCCAAGCTTATCATACTGTCATATAAGTTTCGGGTCTCATGCATAGCTTGCCGATCATATACTAGGTGTTAATTCTTGTATTTGGTTTTGGGTTTATTAGGGTGAGAGTATTTTTATCATTGCATACAGAGAGAGCTTCCGGTGAGAAGGGGGAAGATCTATACTTAGGGAGTACGAGAGAGTTTGAGTGTGGGACTCAGACTGGGAAGAACAGTGATCTGTTCTGTAGCAAGTTCGAGTGGAAACTTGTGAGTAGAGGCTGATTTATAATAGGTTGTAACTTGGTGTTTGCCCTATTATAGTGGAAGTATTTGTGTTTGAAATCCCTAAGGTAGGGTCGAGGTTTTACTTCTAGTTGGGCACTAGAAGGTTTCCTCGTAAAATCTGTGTGCATCGCAAGTTCCTATTTTGTTCTGTTTTATATTTGCAAAATTATTATTTAGGAACTCAACTACAATTCACCCCCCCTCTTGTAGTGTTCATCTCAATTAACAATTGGTATCAGTGCACGGTTCTCACGTGCAAGCAGATTATATTGCTGAGTAAGTTCCTGGAGAGATGAATTACAAGGAGAAACTTGAAGAAGGGTACTCTACCCAACGTCCACCTATGCTCAACGGTAAGTTTTATGCCTACTGGAAGAACAGGATGGAGATATTCATCAAGGCCGAAAATTACCAGGTTTGACGTGTAATTGAAACTGGTGATTTTGAAATAACTCAAACCAATGACAAGCATGAGGTAGTTTCTAAATCTATTTCTAATTATGATAAAGAAGATTATCAGAAACTTGAAATGAATGCTTTAGCTATAAAGTATCTGCACTGTGGACTTGGACCCCATGAACATAATCGTATCATGGGATGCAAGTCTGCCAAACAGATTTGGGATTTGTTACAGGTAACTCATGAAGGTACTAACGAGGTAAAACGTTCTAAAATAGACTTATTGATGTCTAGGTATGAAAGGTTTGAAATGCAATCTAAAGAAACCATAGAAGAGATGTTTACTAGATTCAATGATATTATTAATGAACTGAACTCCCTTGGCAGGCAAATTCCTATTGATGAACAGGCAAGAAAAATCCTGAGAAGCCTACCACAAGATGAACGCTGGAGATCCAAGGTTACTGCCATGCAGGAAGATAAGGACTTTACTAAGTTCAATATGGAACAACTAATCATTGATGACTCATGAACTTCATCTGAGTTCCAACATTGAAAGTTCCAGAAATAAAGGTTTGGCACTCAAGGCTGGAGACTCAGAAGGATCAGAAGTTGATGAGGAAGAGATGGCTATGCTAGTGAGGAAATTTAAGAAGATGATGAAAAATAGGAAGTTTGACAGGAACAAGAAGTATACAAGTTCCAGAAACACAACGTGTTTCAAGTGTGGATCAAAGGATCATTTTATCAAAGATTGTCCTGTTCAGGATGGAGAGAAAGGCAAGACTAAAGGCAAGGAGCAATCCAAAGAGTCAAGAGTCTACAAGCCTTACTTCACCAAGGACAACGTTAAGAAAGCCATGCTTGCTGCTTGGGGAGATACAGATTCAGAAGAAGAAGAGGAGGATCAACCATCAGAAGAAACTGCTCATTTATGTCTAATGGCAAAAATTGATGAAGCTGCCAAGCTAAAGGAGCTTGAGTCTAAGGTATGGTTCTCTTACAATCAATTAATACATATGTCTAAAGAGAATCTAATAGATACTGTTTTGGAAATTCAAGAAGATCTAAAAGAATTGCATAGATCCAAACATCTAAGTGATAAAGCTTTGATAACTTACAAAGAGAACAGTGAATGGGTTGATAACATGAAGTTTGACATTCAATACAGGTTCTTCAGTCTGTTTAATGACAATAAAATTCTAAAAGAGACTCTAGAGAACTTAAAACAAGATAACATACTCTTGAATGTGGAATTGTCTTTGTTAAAACTGAGTGTTGACACTCCTAACTCTGAAGTTCCTCCACCGACTGATTATCAGAATTTTGAAAAATTGAAACATGATTTAGAAGAGTTAAAAATGGATAAGGCACGTCTTGAGGGGGAACTTGAGAGGGCTAGGAAAGGTAAACAACCAATAGAGTATAGAGTTCCTGATTGGATCACTAAGGCTCAAACTAAGAATACTGAAGTTTTGGGTTTTAAAAAGAAGTTCCAGAAAGAAAAGAAGTATGTCAACTTGCCCAGTAGCATTGTTTGTTATTTCTGTGGCAATACAGGGCATAAGCAAGCTAAGTGCCCTAAGAAAGAACAAAGCACTCAGAAGAAAATCAAACATGTAAACAAATCTGGGTAAAGAAAAATGAATCAACCCATGTTACACAGGAACCTAAGGAAACATGGGTTCCTGACTCTAACGTTTAAATTCTTCTCGCAGGTTCCAGTGAGGGGGAACAACACTTGGTACCTCGACAGTGGTTGTTCTAAGCACATGACTGGAGACAAAACTAGATTTCTCTCACTGGATGGATGCCTACTATGGTGGAACTGTGACCTTTGGTGATAATATGAAAGGTGATATAATTGCTATTGGTAAGATAGGAAGCTCACGTTCCCATGCTATTGATAATGTATTTTTGGTCGAGGGCCTCAAGCACAATTTGTTAAGTATTTCTCAGTTTTGTGACAAAGGTAACTCTGTTAGTTTTACTTCAAATAAGTGTAGAATCATCCACAATGACACTGGGAACATTATTTTAGAAGGAACTCGAAAGGGGAACACATATGTTGTGGATCTTAACGAGGTTCCTAACAGTAGTTTAACATGTCTTAGTGTTATTGAGGATGATCCTCTTTTATGGCACAAAAGATTTGGTCATGCAAGCTTTTCTTTACTTGATAAACTAAGATCTAAGAACTTAGTGGAAGGACTTCCTTGCATTAAGTTCCTGTATGATAAAGTGTGTGAAGCTTGTGCTAAAGGTAAACATACCCGAATTTCTTTCAAGTCCAAAAAGATGGTAAGTACCAAAATACCTTTGGAACTCATTCATATGGATCCTTGTGGTCCAATGAGAATCCAAAGCAGAAGTGGTAAGAAATATGTAATGGTTATTGTTGATGATTTTTCAAGGTTCACTTGGGTTTTCTTTCTTGTAAGCAAGGATGAAACGTTTGATGAGTTTGTGGCTTTTGTTAAGAAAGAACAGAGAAGAACAGGTAATCAGTTGATACATCTTAGATCTGACCATGGAACAGAATTTGAAAATTCAAAATTTGATGAATTTTATGCTGAGTATGGTATGGATCACAATTTCTTTGCCCCAAGAACTCCACAACAAAATGGAGTAGTGGAACGCAAGAATAGGAGTCTTGAAGACATGGCAAGGACAATGTTGATATCAAGCAGGCTGCCTAGGAATTTCTGGGTTGAGGCAGTGAACACAACATGTTATATACTCAACAGAGTATCTGTTAAGGCCATCACCAACAAAACTCCCTATGAACTTATGAAAGGGAGAAAACCTAATATCTCTTACTTTAGATCTTCTTGTTGCAAATGTTTTGTTCACAATAATGGTAAAATGAACTTGGGAAAGTTTGATGAACGTAGTGACGAGGCAGTTTTCCTAGGATATGCCTCAAATAGTAAAGCTTATAGAGTTTATAATAAAAGAACAATGTGTGTTGAGGAGTCTGTACATATTATATTTGATGAGACTGAAAATTTGGTTGATGTAAAGGATTGTGATGATGATTTCGAAATTGGACTTGTGCGTAAGCAAAATCCAGATGAGGAACTAGCATCACTACAGAAGCAGCATGGTGAAGTTGCAGAAGTAACGAATAATGAAACAAATGTTGAACCAGAGTTAGAGAATGCACCAGAAACTCCACTTCAAGAACAGACTGAAAATCTTAATGAAAACCAAAATGTGGAAACTCCTGAAGAAGTTCAACCCGAGTTCCAGAATCAAGTTCCTACAGAAGAACCAGTCAACAATAATGAAGAGAGGATGTACCCAATCAAAGATTTCACTCCAAGGCCCTGGAAATATCAGAAATCTCATCCAGTTGACACAATCATGAGTGACATCACAAAAGGAACTCAAACCAGATCTCAGCTTAGGAACTTCTGTGCATTCAATACATTCCTTTCTTCCATGGAACCTAAAAATTATGTTGAGGCTTTAACTGACGCAGACTGGATTAATGCTATGCAAGCTGAACTAAATGAATTTGAAAGAAATAAAGTTTGGCATCTGGAACCTAGACCTAAAGACAAGAAGTCCATTGGACTAAAATGGGTATTCAGAAACAAACTAGATGGACATGGTATTATTGTTAGGAACAAAGCTAGACTAGTTATACAAGGTTTCAACCAGCAAGAAGGAATTGACTATGAAGAAACATTTGCACCTGTAGCCAGGTTAGAAGCTATTCGTTTACTTATTGCTTTTGCTGCTTATATGGGTTTTAGGCTGTACCAGATGGATGTCAAATGTGCATTCTTAAATGGATACTTAAATGAGGAAGTCTATGTGGAACAGCCTCCTGGATTTGAAAATCTAGAGTTCCCAAACCATGTCTATAAGCTTGACAAGGCTCTTTATGGGTTAAACCAAGCTCCTAGAGCATGGTATGAAAGATTATCTAAGTTCCTTTTGGCTAATGGTTTTAAACGTGGTAAAATTGATAAAACATTGTTTTTAAAGTCAAATGGAACCGATATCTTAGTTGTACAAATTTATGTTGATGATATTTTATTGTGCAACTAACGAATCTCTGTGCAAGTATTTTGCTGACGTTATGAGTGGAGAATTTAGAAATGAGCATGACTGGAGAATTAAATTTCTTTCTTGGTTTGCAAATTAAGCAAACTGAAGAGGGAATTATGATTCATCAGCAAAAATATATTAAGGAACTGATCAAGAAATACAAGTTGGAAAATGCCAAAACCAACAATACTCCTATGGGAATTGCTACTAGATTGGATGAAGATCCATCTGGAACTTGCATTGATCAATCTATGTATCGAGGTATGATAGGCTCACTACTTTATCTAACAGCTAGTAGACCTGACATATCTTTTAGTGTAGGTCTGTGTGCCAGGTTCCAAGCAAATCCAAAGGAGTCTCACTTGACAGCAGTAAAAAGAATCCTTAGATACCTGAAAGGAACTGACAATTTGAGTCTCTTCTATCCTAGAAGTGATTCTTTTAATTTGAATAGTTTTACAGATGCTGACTATGCAGGTGACTTTGTAAACAGGAAAAACACTTCAGGTATGGTACAGTTTTTAGGACCTTGTTTAGTTTCTTGGGGTTCCAAGAAGCAAAACACAGTTGCTTTATCTACAGCAGAAGCTGAGTATGTAGCTGCAGCAGCATGTTGCTCACAAGTCTTATGGATAAAACAACAAGTCAGAGATTTTGGTATTATTTTTTATTGTGTGCCTATTTATTGTGATAATACAAGTGCTATATGTATTTCTAAAGATCCAGTTCAACACTCAAAGGTAAAACATATCCACATTAGGCATCACTTTCTTAAAGATAATGTGGAGCCAGGGAATATTAAGTTAGAATTTTGCCAAACTGAAAATCAAACTGCAGATATTCTAACCAAACCCTTGAAAAGAGAAAGATTTGAGAAATTGAGACTGGAACTTGGAATGATCAAGCTGAAGTACTAGCCTCTAAAGTTCCAAGATATGGCAAAGTCAAAAAATTGTAAATAGAGAAAAAAGAACTTCTACCACAAACTTGGTGTGATAAACATAGCTAAAGTGTCACCGTTGTTAACTACCAAAGGTAAGTTCATTAAATTGCTCAACTGTATAAGTTATTAAATTTGTACATTGCATACATGTTGAAAGCGTGTTCTAATTGTGTTTTATAGAAACTTCAATCAAGATTAACTGAATTTGGAAATTTAAATTTTTTTTGAAAGATTCATCCAGTGTTTAAATTTTGAAAAATTAATTGAATTTGTTCAATTAATAACTAAACAGTGAAAACTTCCTAAATTCCCTCACACCGCTTCATTTATTATAAAAGCAAATTTTCACCCACTTCTTTCACCTCACTGTCACATCAAATTTACTCCCTCTTAGTAAAACTTTGAAAACCCCTTTAAAACCCTTTCTTAAGCTTCAATGGTGATCATTGCTGAGTTTGTTTCCTCAGAAGAATCCCAAAGTCCAGAAAACTCAATTCAAGAAGAATCATCTTCTTTAGCCATGGTAAACTACAAAGCATCTTCTACCTCTCAAACACCTTCTGAAAACCCTAAGAAATCTCCTCCAAAACCAAAAGAAGTAGAGAGTAAAATCGATCAAGGGGATTCCTCTGTCTCGAATGTTCTTCAAAAATTAAAGGAGTGGAAGGAAAGAAAACAAAGTGTAAAATCTCTGGAAGAGCACATTAAGGAAGTTGATGAATTTGAGAAAGAGAAAAACCCGGAAGAGACAAAAGAGGAGAACAGAGAAGAAGAAGAAATAAGCGAGGGAGAAGAGGAAGAAAAAGAAGAGGAGAACAACTCAGAAAAGGAAGAATCGGAAAAGGAATATGAAGAAGAGGAGGTAACTGATCAAGAGGAACTTGAATCAATGGCAGGAAGGTATGTAGTAGGTCATCGTCTTGACGCTGTGTGGTGTAGGAAAGCAAGATTTTTAGAGTTTCTTGATTTAATTAAATTTCAAGGTAGGGAATTTCTGTTGACTAGGGTTTCATCAAATTACTTGTATCCTGCTGCTATGAATGAATTTTGCCAGAATTTTCAGGCAAAATTGGGAATAATAACGAGCATGGTGAATGATGTAAAGATTGAATTGGACCTAGAAACTCTAGGTAAAATTCTAAAAGCTCCTACTGAAGGTTTTGATACTTACTTGAAGGGAAAGGGTAGTATCAATGTAGGAAATTTCATGGCTGGGGATATAGTTGAGGAATTAGGAGGACAGAGGGGTAAGAAGGTCATGAGTCATAATGATCTAAGCCCTCTAAATAAGCTACTGTTTAATTTGGTGAAAAAGACTATTCTGCCTAGGACTGCTAAGAAGGGAGAGGCATGCTTAATGGATATGGCTATAATCTTCTGCATTTCAAAGAAGATTAAGGTGAACTTTCCTTCTTTGATGTATCAGCATCTAGCTCATTGTGTTTCAAGTAGGACAAAAGTGGGGTATGGAGCCATTTTGTCTACTGTTTTTGAAAATGCAGGAGTGATCTTAAAAGGAAAATATGGGGCTTTGAATGAGAAGCCAGAAAATGTGATCAATGAGGAAACCCTTGCTGGGTTAAGTCTGGAAGTAGTACAGGGAAAAATTCAGAAATTAGAGAAAGGAGAGAAAAAGAAAGAGAGAGTTACAGGGAAGAGGAAGGAAAAGGCTATGTCAGAACAGCCTGTAAGGAAGAGTAGGAGGA